GTCATATGCTTTGCCTTGGTCATCTTCTTATGACGCCATTGTGCTGTCCTTCACTTTGACGATTTTATTCCTTTCCTCTATGTCATGTTTTTATCTCTTGTCTGTCCACTTTAGCTTTCCTCAGACATTTCCCGCTATATCGTCTGATGTTTGGCTGCATATGTGTTGTGAGAGAGCAAAGCTCCAATTTGGTAGAAACTGACCGAATGACTAGCTTCGCCTGGGTATTATCAGGGTACATTTTTACCCGCTTACAGCATCCAAAGGCCGCATCCAAATACGAATATGTCAGGGTACAATGCCATTTGTACCCTTATGTTGGGAATCAATATTTGGAGCCTCGAAATGAAGGTCAAATTCGCGAAGTGAAGAATTCTACAGACACTTACCAGTTTATAGAGGTCCCTAATCTACATTTTTAAAATACACTTTTAGACAATATATGCAAATAAAACGGTTTGTGTATGTTTGTTCTGCTACGTTTCCACAACATTAGACCTAACCCGAACAAACTTTGACGCGATATAAAGTTAAGTCAAGAAGGACTCATTGTCATAATTTCAACTCCGCAATATGTAAATTAGTACGATAACCTGATATGCATATCGTCGGAAAATGGTTAATATAAATACATCAATGCAAATTATTTTTTTAAAATCCTATATTACTGATAATAATACTTCTAATAAAAAACCTTTGTAAGAGCAACATGGAATAGAGGCCTTAGAGATGTACCATTATAGATGATCACTCAAGATTCCATGGACAGATAAGATGAAAAACAATCAGTTACTTGATCGAATGGGAACAGAATGCCAGATTGTGATAAAACAACGAAAGCTGATTAAGGTCACGTGACAGTGAACAGCCAATCAGGGCGCAACTAAAACGGACACCATATAAATATTAAGGCGCACTATTATAGTCGATTATAGTCTTCTCTGGCCTGAGGAATCTAATTTTATTTAACAACATTGGTGGCGTACAGCACCTTAGTACTTTGCTACAGTGCATTGCGGTTTGTCTGATTGCTACTTTCATTTTTGGGCTCGAAAATCAAACACTTTAGTTGGTATCCCGTAAAACTATATTCTCTCTCTCTTATAGTTAATTTGAAATTTGTGGGATCATACAACGTACTTTTCACACAAAATAATTCGAAATTCTCGGATGTTGTACGCCAGGTGTAAGCTCCTCCTGTATCCTCCTTTCTTGTGTCGTACAAGTTTCCTGAGTGAATTTACAGTATTAAAAAACAATTTAAAAAGTAAATAATAAATAAATTACATTTTAAAGTTTTATGTGTGTTTATTTATATGTTGTCTTTTCCTCGTATGTAATGATCCCAAGTCTTCCTGCAAACATTGATCTATCCATACCTCAACCTTTAAAGTAGTGTAATATAGTCTAACTGTGTGTGGTTTCAAATCTAATTAATGATATCTCTACCGAGCGAAATATATCAGCGAAATTTAATTAAAATAATTTAAAATCAATAATTATATTGAAATAATATTAGCCTATAATTTATGATGGAGCAGAAATATAAGCATGTTATTAACTAAGGAAAACAACCTCTTTCTTGTATATTTGAAAGGTGGAATCCTCTGAAATTTAAGCAATAATAAAAAACGGCCTCCGATGATGTTTCTTACTTTATATATATTTTAGCGTAGGAATCAAATCTTGGAATATCTTAAAATGTGAAAGTATTTATTGATGACGTCAGTTCGACTAGTTGACAAATATCAACCAAACTATCTACAGCTAGGGAATATTGAACAAACAAGCAAAGGAATATTTTATGATGATTTCACAAATACAGAGTAATCACACACAAAAACATTTATTAAGACACACTGGTCTTATAGAGGATTCTCCTTGGGGTTACAAGACGGAGAAACCTATGAAAGTGGGAATATACAAAGGGGTAAAAATGGAGAAAGATTATATACACATGATAAATATATACAGATTATTATTTGAATAATTCTATGGAAAATAAGAATATGGAAAAAAATTGGAAATATGGGTGGGAGAAGTGGAGAGCGAAAAGAGGAATGAAAACAGGTATTTACATATGGAACATACATATAATGGAACAAGTCAATTTAAGCTCTTCTGCTCACACAGCACAGGTGGACCATGGCTTTTTTCAAGAAATCTTTAAGAGATTTTCCAGGAAAATCCGAGTGTTCAGAGTTGTAAGGTATTATAAATCCTTCTAGAAGAGTATAATATACTCCTGAGGGCCATATACTACTGTTGAAGGGTTTATAAAACCAGAAAGCTTGAGAGGATGTATAAATAAAGCAAGAAAATTATCCTCGGAGGACTTTTTTTTTTAAATTTATTTCTCCCTTTCTTGTATTTTTCAAAAATTATTATTATCCCATTATATAATTATACAAGGTCATGGAGACTATATTCATTGATCAAATTCACAATCTTGGTAGGGTTGGAATACAGGTCCTGTCTTGAGGCTCCCATACATTCCAAGAGGTGGTCTGATGAGGCCTCTTTGGTCCTGTAGATGGTGTATTGTGTGAAGGTCTTTACACCATCCTGGAAGAGGATTGGTCTTGTATGGCCAGTTTTGGAGATATAGGTTGCTGCTTGTCGGTTCATCCCACATTCCAGAATAGCTCCAGGCTTTTGGTTCAGATACCAATGATGGAATGTTGACTCCTGTATTTTTGTTTGTATGTTTATTTATTTTTGTGTGCGTTTGAAAAGGTCGAAATCAAGGTCTAAGTTAGGTATTACTGCTGATTTTGTAATTGCATCTGCTTTCTTGTATCTCAAAATATTTCGATATAACTCTCAGTTTGTAGGTGCTCTCTTCTAAGAGAAGGATGGAATGTAATGCTAATTTCAGAGGGGTCGGGGGAAGGATGTTCTAAACCGTTGGTTTTCGATCACTACGACCCGGGATCGAATCCTGCATTGGACACTTTTTTTTGAATAAAAAATAAAAAAAATGCTCCAATGGCCCCCGATTCTTGCAAAAGTCCAACCCCACCAGCGAGTGAAAGTAACCAAACGGGGCTATGGCATAATTGTAAGTGCAAAGTCGAACTGCTTTTCACATGTGTTGATATGTGGTGTACTTACAGTAAAAGCAGTCGCCTACTTCTACCCACCATGATATGAGATAAGCAAAAAAAAAAAAAAAACAGATTTCAGAGAAAAAAAAAACAGCCACATCACCCAATAGTATATTTCAACTCCCCAACTATTGATCAACTATTGGTTGATGTGTTTTCCTCTGAATCCACTTCCAAGTAACAAATGATTTCCAGAATTAACAGATTCTAAAACAGGTTATCAAATAAAAATAAATATTGTAAACTCAAAACCTTAATGAAGCAACGAGTTTTGAGGGTAGATTGTTTTAATTTAATGTTTGTTTTAATGTGTTTGACAATGTTTTCTTTGTGTTTGCACCGGTATTTCTTCTTTTTTATATATGTATAGCGGTACAAGAACTTTTCCTTAATTAGAATAGCACGAATCTCTTCACTCTTTGGAAGAAGATTTTTACCGAATTGGTGTTATTTTCTTTTCTTCACATTTTTCCTCTCTTCAACTCAAATAATTAACTTAGCTCTCCCCCTCTCTGTGTATGTATGAAGGGGACGATGATTCAGAAACAATATTTACACAACTTGAGAATAATTAAAAGTAAAGAAATATTCTCCATTTTAAACATTTTGTTCCCTTCTCTTTCTCATCGGTATATAAGCAACTGGTACAGACTGCTCGAATCCTAGTTTATTTGAAGACAGTTTCTTCCTACCCATTCGTACTTATACATCCATAATTTCCCTCCAGTCTAAAATATGAAAAGTCAGTAGACGAGTGGCTAACACCCTCGATTCCCGATAATCATGAACCGGGATTGAATCCCGCGTTAACCTTTTGTTTTAATATATGAATAACCTTCACATATTATTCATTATTAAAAATGGCATATTCTGACCAGGAGCACATGTGCTTTACAGAAGGCTTTCTTGATTTATCAAGAAATTGGGTTAGCCAAATATCAGGGAACAGGCTAAATCAATGTTTAGTCGATTTCTGTTCCACCAGATGGCGCTCTACCTTCTGTAAAGCACATGTGCTCCTGGTCAGGATATGTCTTTTTTTTTTAATTTCAACACCTGATCTTTTTATCTTTTATTTTTTTCTTTCATTTTTTTTTCATTATTCATTGTTTCAATTGTCATAAACAAGGTTGCTCTTTTTTTGAGCGGTACCTAATAAAGTGATTTTGGAACCGAAAGTCTAAAATACTATTACATGAGAAGGAATTGCCTGATATCATTTTGAAGAAGGAATACAAGTTTACGGTGACGAGTTTCTTCTATTTGTGCTGTATAATCGGCAAGCTTTCGGACTTTGACATTCTTCAACAGGCAACTATGTTGATGTTAAATTCCAACTATGATTTATTTATTTAAACACACAAAAAACGCGATATCCCTGCTAGGGATAATTGCATCGATTTACATTTTTTTTTTTAAACCGAAACAGTTATAAACATATTATACAAGAAAAATAATTGAAATTGAAAAAAAAAAAAGAGAGAAACAATACTATATATTAGGAACCTGAACCTTTCGGGTTATAAAGATAATCATAAATATATTTACAAAAATAATTAAACTTATGATAATTCTCTCTGCTATTTACAAATTGATATAGATCTACAACATTATTCATTGTCTGTTGTCTAGCGCTAAAGAAGAGTGGGCATTCCAACAGTAGGTGTCTCGAGTTCTGAAATTCATTGCCACAATGAAAGATAAGAGTCTTCAACAGCTCCAATTTTTGATAAAAATCTCTTAAAATTTCCATGGTTCGTTGTAAACTGAGTATTATAAAAATTGGAATGGAAAAATGTTGGAATTTCAAACGTTTCCAACTATAATGGACGTCATAGTCCGAAAGCTTGCTGATTATATAACGCACAAATAAAAGAAACTTTATCACCGAAAACTTTGATTCCTTCTTCAATACCATTTATCCAATCACCAAAGTTAAGCAATGTCAGGCCTGGTCAGTACTTGGTAGGGTGACCACCTGTGAACACCCAGTGCTGTTGGCTCTCTTCCTGTTTTCGCGAATATTTATGATGCCAAGCGTAGCTTAATGGTTAGGTGTACGGCTTCGTATTTCCATAAACTTGGTTCTTCAATACCATTCTTGTATAGAAGACACACAAGTCAGGGAAAAGAGCTTCTTTTATAAGAGGAAATACGGCTTCGTATTTCCATAAACTTGGTTCTTCAATACCATTCTTGTATAGAAGAAGACACACAAGTTGGGGAAAAAAGCTTCTTTTATAAGAGGAAATACGGCTTCGTATTTCCATAAACTTGGTTCTTCAATACCATTCTTGTATAGAAGAAGACACACAAGTTGGGAAGAAGAGCTTCTTTTATAAGAGAATGATTGTAAAAGCTTTCAGGCAAGACGTCCTTCTACGGGTATTCATTAGAAGGTCGTCTTGACCGAAATCTTGTACGATCATTCTTTTATAAAAGAAGCTCTTCTTCTATAGTGAATAAGGAGATTACCATTGTCTTAATTCTAACCATTCTTTACTAATAACTAATGGCAAATCACATTTATAATCAGTTTTCTATGTTCGAATAATTAAGCTTGAGGGATGAGTCTCTTTTAATTACATTTATTTCAAGCTTTCGGGCTCAACCGCCCTTCGACAGGACAAATTACTAAAGTTTTCAAATCTAATCTATATAAACATTTGAGAGACGCCTGTGTCTCGAGTGTAATACGAGGCTTGCCGCGGGAGGGGATGAGATCTTTGAAAAAGATGGCCGTTTAGCCCATTGAATTATCGGAAATAAAAGATTATTTGTTGAATCGCAGAGTTCATGATACCGAGGGGGGTTTGGTGGCTGCAGGGAATATTACATTGTATATTTCAGGTAAATCAATTTTTCTATTGAGGCTATGGAATTTGCTTGATAGGATAGATTCTATGATTAGTCTTTGGTGTTTGTTGGCAATATTAGAATAGTGAATTTTCGGTGATGTAATGTTGAAGGAATGGCCAGTTTCATTTATGTGCTGTACTATTAAGGATCTATGGTCTAAGTTATCAATATTTCTTTTGTGTTCATGAATTCTGATATTGACATGTCTCCCGGTTTCGCCTACGTAGACTTTTGGGCAGTTCATACATTTTATGGAGTAAATAGCGTTTCGTGGTGTGCTGTTAGGTTCATTGAGTTTCATGATCTGGTTTCGGAGAAGGGATCCAGAGGTAGGTGCGCAGGTGAAGTAGGTTTTGATTCCAAATTTCAATAAGAATCTCGCTATTGTGGAGGATAATGGTGAATATGGCATATTGCAAATAGATCTGTATATTGGAGACTGTGTCTTTTTAGTTGGGTCATAAAAGTGTCGCAATATAAAGGATATCGGGTATGCGCAGTCCCTGAGGTTAGCTAATATGTTCTGTGTTTCGAGGTTCTTGTACATCTGGAGGGAGCAGTGGGTATGGACTCGTTTTGATAGAGCAATGACTGTGTTGATTTTGTGACTGATAGGACAGAAGGACGAGTATTGAACATAATTAGGACGGAAGGATGGTTTATAATAAACGGTGGTGTGCAATTCATGTTGGTGCCGGATGATTTTAACGTCGAGAAATGGAAGGGTATTATTGGTTTCTTTTTCAACGGTGAAGTGAAGATCAGGGTGATAATTGTTTAGATTGTAGAGGATGTCATCGGTTTTGGTGGTGGTGCAAATGCAAAAGATGTCATCAATGTACCTGCGCCAAAAGAATATATCATGTGGGAAATTGGCGGTAATCCTTCGGTCTATTGCGCGCATAGAGATCTCAGCAATTGTGGTCGATAGAGGGCTTCCCATTGGGGACCCTTTTGCTTGCCTGAATGATTCGGAGTTATATGTGAATATGCAGTTATCTAGACATATGGAAATTAGTTGTGTGATTTTTTGGATGATATCTGTATCAATATGCTGTTCCTGCAGAAGTTCTATTGTATCACTTATGATCAGAGGATGTGGAAGGCTGGGGTATAAGGCTTGCACGTCGAAAGACACCATGATGCGGTCAGATTCAGGTTTGATCTTTACTACTTCTCCTATAAAGGTATGGGTGTTGGATATGGGGAATGGGTCATTCTGTAATTGGAGGAACGGTTTCAGGAAGTTGGCTATAAATCTGGAAAGAGGGGCTGTTGGAGAAGAGAAAAAGGCCACTATAGGACGCAAGGGAGTTTCAGGTTTGTGTGTTTTTGGGAAACACAGAACATATTAGCTAACCTCAGGGACTGCGCATACCCGATATCCTTTATATTGCGACACTTTTATGACCCAACTAAAAAGACACAGTCTCCAATATACAGATCTATTTGCAATATGCCATATTCACCATTATCCTCCACAATAGCGAGATTCTTATTGAAATTTGGAATCAAAACCTACTTCACCTGCGCACCTACCTCTGGATCCCTTCTCCGAAACCAGATCATGAAACGAAATGAACCTAACAGCACACCACGAAACGCTATTTACTCCATAAAATGTATGAACTGCCCAAAAGTCTACGTAGGCGAAACCGGGAGACATGTCAATATCAGAATTCATGAACACAAAAGAAATATTGATAACTTAGACCATAGATCCTTAATAGTACAGCACATAAATGAAACTGGCCATTCCTTCAACATTACATCACCGAAAATTCACTATTCTAATATTGCCAACAAACACCAAAGACTAATCATAGAATCTATCCTATCAAGCAAATTCCATAGCCTCAATAGAAAAATTGATTTACCTGAAATATACAATGTAATATTCCCTGCAGCCACCAAACCCCCCTCGGTATCATGAACTCTGCGATTCAACAAATAATCTTTTATTTCCGATAATTCAATGGGCTAAACGGCCATCTTTTTCAAAGATCTCATCCCCTCCCGCGGCAAGCCTCGTATTACACTCGAGACACAGGCGTCTCTCAAATGTTTATATAGATTAGATTTGAAAACTTTAGTAATTTGTCCTGTCGAAGGGCGGTTGAGCCCGAAAGCTTGAAATAAATGTAATTAAAAGAGACTCATCCCTCAAGCCTAATTATTCGAACATAATATTATGGGATTACCTATTAATCAGTTTTCTATATTGGAGGATGCGTTAGTTTGGTAGGTGTAGTTTTTGATTTTACAAAGGATGGTCATGTGTGAGTGTATCACACATTAAATATTATATAAATATGTGATAATACAGTGGAATCTCTAAGAGAAGACATTCCCGTTAGAAGAAACCTCTCTCTATACAAAAGACAAGTTTAATTTACAAACTTGCCATTTTTTTTTCTAATCAGAAACTTTACGGTAAGCTGACACCTCTCTCTAAAGAACACTTGGCTATGCGACTAGGTATCCTTTAGAAAGATATGTTCTATTATATATATGTTATATTAAAATATTTTATTTGAAATTATATTATATTAAAGTATTATTTTATTTAAAATTATATTTCTTCGATTCAAATACTCTGTTAAATCGACCGCCAGAGGTCACGCTTTCCCTATAAATACTTATTGTTGTTGTTCCCCGTTGGCCGGCTCAAATCTTTGTACATTATTTAAATAATCTTTTGTTTTCCTTATTCTACTCGCCTTAAGCCAGGCGGGACTTTTATCAAATTATGTGTATTATATAATCCTAAAGCTCAATTAAAGAAATCTCCGATCAAAACCATTATATTTTTATTTAAAGATTTCAACCACGACTGCATTACCTTTTCCATAGTCCTCAACAATCAAGATACAACAGAAATCTCATTCATCTTTTCTTTATATAAGATATATATATAATTTTTTATTTAAAAACTACTGAAAGGACACTCTTGCGCTAGAAGAAATCTCTATCTATACAAAGGACAAGTTTCATTTCCAAACTTATCATTTTTACTAATCAGAAACTTTTCGGTAAGCTGATACCTCTCCCTAAAGTACTTTTCGGTTCTGCAACAGGCTATCCTTTACAGGAAAGTTATATATATATATATATATTTTTTTTTTTGAATGAAAAACTATGGTCTATTCGTTAGTAGTGAGAAATCTCTCAGGATTGTTTAGAAATATTAGGAAATATTATTTCGACACAAAAATCTGTTATGTTGCCAAGGTGAGGAAGAAGCCGATGCCAAAATCTCCCATTTGTATTCCTACAAAGAAAGAAGGAGCGCCGGCCCATTATTTTGCATTTATTGGCATTCAATAAATTGTGTGTGTGTTCGCCAGGATCGCCTCTTAATTGGAGGTTCCAAGATGGCCGGTTGGCTGGCCTCATTCTGACAATCTTAGTCAAGATAATCTAGCTTTCCTGTCCACTGTTCATTGAACACATTCTTCTTTTAACAGTTCAGATCTACACATATAAAATGAAAGGATTTAAAAACACGAATGTTTCTTTTATACATAATACAAACTTCTACTGCCCTTACTGCGATGAAAAATATATATATTGGGAGGGCTTGGCTCATCAGTGGTGCACCCTCCCAGTGGTTTCGCCAATTTAATCCACCAGACCGCTTCTCAGAGCTCTAATAGTGTAACGGACGATTCTGATTATATATGCAGCACTGAAGGATGGAATCTCAGAAATGGTTTTCAAGAAAACTATGGACATAAGATTATAGGACAGTAGAATTACATTCAAATCCTTTCATTTTATATGTATAGATGGCGCGTTATTGCTTTGTGTTACTTTAGATCTAGGGTGCGTCAACACCTTTATTACATATTTTGCTATTCCAAAATTCTTTCTTACCACTTTTTGGATCTTCTAGCTTCCTGTCCACTCATTGAACAAATTCTTATTTTATCAGTTCAGATATAGGATGCGTCAACACCTTTATTCCATATTTTGCTATTACAAAATTCTTTCTTGCGACTTTTTGGATCCTCTAGCTTTCTGTCAACTCATTGAGTAATTCTTCTATTATCAGTTTAGGTCTAGGATGCGTTAACACCTTTATTTCATATTTTGCTACTCCAAACGGCCCTCCTTACGACCTTTTGGATCTTCTAGCTTTCTG